AGGTAATTGAATTTATGAAAATCTCCGATAAGAAAGATCTTATTCACAGGCTGACGTGCTGATATCCAGTCACAAGTACGAAGAAGCACTACAGTTGTACGAGAAGCATTTGATGCAACACTTTGATGATGAAAGCTTATTTGTAAGTTATTCGGATTTCTTCCTCAAACGGGAGGCGGCCCTTTTACACCGCTAGCCTTAGCACCTGCCGCGAACCTCTGATTGGTCAGCGCTGCCGCGGCGATTGGGTAAGCGGGAGAGTTTGGCTATAGCTAGAGGCGCAAGCGCTCTGAATCAAACGAGTTACATAGGAGCATTCTCCTAGGACAACCAAACAAGAATTCATATAATTAACCATATAAATCTGATTCGGCACAAATTAGCAAACATCTGTCCAGGCTGATCCCAGCGAAATAATATTGATAATTTGCTTTCATCGCGTGCCAATTCCACAAGATGACCTTTGATTTTTTTCCAGAATTTCATAGAGCTCAAAAAGAACATTGCTTTCAAATACCTGAAGGAGCGCTCGTTCGAAAAAGCTGCTGAACTTCTTATTTCTGCAGAAGTTGACCCAAAAGAGGTATAATCTGAACTTGTTGGGTTCTTCAGCTACATCACTTATTTTTCCAGCTTACTGCGCAGTTTCCTTGGCCACCAAGTGGAAGTAATGAAAATTTGGAAGACTATAAATTCTTTGAGGAGTATTTACTACAAATCCGCGAATTGCAGTTTGCTGCGCATTCACGCTCAGTAGGCTTTTTTTGGCTTTTTTCTGAAGTACTCAATAGCAAAAGTTTCAGTTTATTGACTCATGTCTGCTCAAACTATATGTTGCCAGAAACGATCCGGAGTCAGTATTTCTCGTGAAAGATTATAGTGCGGACCTCTCGGAAAGTGCTACTTTCTTAGAGGAGTCTAAAAATTATCATCACGCAGCAAGAATGTGGATCATGGCCGGAAAAGAAGCAAATGCTTGGAAAATTTGGAAACAACTTTTCTGTGGAGATCTTGCAGATGCGAAATTCGTACCAGGTCAAGTACTGGACCTTTTGTCTAGGTAATAGTTGTGAATTTGTGGCACAAGGCAGAGTTGGTTGTTTAGTATCAAGGAAAAGCAGATCCTGAAGGAGGTCCTTTCCTGGATGTTATCCAAATATCCTGATGAATGTCTGAAGGTAATTGACAACTTTTAAAGACCCCATCCGACTCTGTTCAATTGCAGGTGATCTTGAATAGCTCTTGTTTGAACCAATCGGAGACCAAAAGTCTCTTGGAAGGTGATGCGAAGCT